GAGTTCGGGAATTTCCGTTTGACCTCGGGCAAGGGTACCCTCAGTTCATATAGGCATTTGGCGTTCAAAGGACCATGTTATTTCCTCCACGGTCGTCGTGACGTACACATCGGAACTTAAACCCCCTAAATCAAATTATTTATCTATTTTTCAATTACAATAATTCATTTTAATTATTTATTAATCATTTACTCACGATTATTTATTCCATTAATTAATTCATTTTTCACTTTTAATAATTTATTTAATATAATTATTTATTTTTAAATTTTAACAATTTATTTAATTTATTTATTCATATTTAACTTTTAACAATTTATTTAATTTATTTATTTTTAATTTTTAATTATTCACTTAATTACTTCGTTCTACTTTTATTTCTAATTAATTCTTTAATAATTGAATAAATATTTTACTTTTTTTTTTTTTTTAATATCATTGGTGTTCGTGGACATTAAATATTTTTATAAGAACTAAATTATTGTTTTAATTCTACTAAATCGTATGCGTTCGAACGATTGTACACGCGATTTTTTTTTTACTCGTTTTCGGAGGAAGTAAGTTCGTCCGTGTACGCGGCATCGCGAGTGTATTGTGAAAGTGTTTGAAGAAAAGAAGAAGGAATTACAACCAACATTTGACATGGCTACATTGACGACGTGGCAAGGGAAGGACGCAATGATGAATGGACACAGAGCTGGTACCAGGACGAAAGTTGCAGTCAGTCCAGAGCTGCTTTGATATGGAGAAGAGACCAACGATCGGTGAGTCGCATGTTTAAAATTCCTCTGGTTACCCATCATGTCGTAGGACGAATGGTCCGAAACGGCACGGATAACTGGTTGTATTTTATTATTCTCATAGCGAGCATAGTGACCACGAGTGCTAATGTACTAATGTACAATAGCACTCGTGCAATATATATTTCTGTGATATATTTCTTGGATCAGGCTAGGGCTTTCTTGTACATCGCGTATTAGTATCTCAGTTCAAAAAATTTCTAATTTTTATCCTAAATAGAAATTTAGAAATTTTTGGTTGTTCATTTCGATCATTCTCATAGTTCTTTCTCGCGATTTTTAACAAATACAAGTACAAGAAAGCATTCCCCTCGGAGTAGGTTCCAAAATCAAAGTAATAATTCGAATGTTTTGGAATTATTAGAGAACTTGCTTTGATTTTGGAATTACTCATATTTTTATTGCTCCCCACCCCCTCGACCCCTCTTTTTAGTAATGCATGCTTCATTCTTGACATGCATTTTTATCGAGTCATTTGCAAAGTACAGTCACCCCAGTAGCTTAGCTCTCTTAATCCCGATTTTTGGTTAGGATTTTCAGCAAAAGGTCAGAGTATTTTTTATATTATTTTCAATACTATTTTTGTCACTATGCTCACTATTTTATTTCATTGTATCTTGCAGGAATTTTTTATTATTCCATATTTATGCACTATTACTTGTGCATACTGTGCATATTGTGCACACTGTGCACACTGTGCATATTCTAATTGAGGATCCGTTAAAATCTCTTAAAATTCGAAATACTGCGATCGCGAATTAAAAGTTTATCCACGTTTTCATATAACATAAAAGAAACCAAAGTCACGAAGAATATAGCGCCCTATGTGGCTGCTCGCGTGCGTTTTTCCCCTATTGTTGCGACTTTTAAAACGCCATAAGTGGCAACGTGTGTTCCATTTTTAGAAAATTATATCTCATTTTATTACACAGTAATCTTATGCAACTATCAATTCTCCCTCTCAACTTTTATTTCCATCTCATTATTAATTGTTCTTCCTTTGTTGCAGATGTTCGACATTCTATATTTTATAATTTTCTATCTAATTTATTTCGTAACAAATTTTGTATTATATTCTGTACTGTTTCCTTTAATTATTTTCTCTGATCATTTTCAGACTCATTTTCTTACTTATTTTGCACAATAATTGATATCATGTTATGTACCATGTTTTATACTATATTTTAATTATTTTTAGGCTTGGGTCTCGATTGCGTAGCCACCTCCACGCGGTGAGACCTGGTAATTGGTATCGTTTGTCAAAGACGAACATTTCGCGACTTACCTCCATGAATTCTATCAAAGTAATTCCAAAATAATTCAAAATATTCCAAAATAATTCCTCTTTGACAAATGATGCCAAGCTAAGAGCTACGCAGTATTCGCAGTCTAGTCTAGCCTCTGAAAGGCTACCTTCTGGTACCTCGGGGGCTAGATTGGAATCGCGAGTACCACTTTATTCGCATCCCCGTGCGAGGCAATGTGTGGGACATTGAGGAACATCGTGGGATGCGAGTACATTAGGTTTCATTAGTTATAGGTTCTTCCATTTAGTTTCATTAATTGTACGTGCGTTTCAAGTTTCACTGGTTATAGGTTATAGGAATACAAATACAAGAAAGTATTCCCCTGAGTAGTTTCCAAAATCAAAGCAATAATTCGAATGTCTCGACACCATTAGAGGTGTACCCTTGATTTTGGAATTATCCTTCATCGCATCTGTGATAAAATTTCGTTGGTAACTTTCCTTTCCTTATCAGTAAACGATAGGTGTATTTATATTATCAGTTCTTTGATCATCAGTATAGTAACCTGTTTTACCTACATCTAGCAACAAGTTTCCTCGGTGTCTTTGAATCCTTACCGACTGTGCTACGTCGATATTTTGGTGGAATGTTTCCTAGATCCTTACTTTACCTACGTTGGATATGAATAAATTTCAGAGGAACGCGGTACGCAATGAATCCATTGATTTCCAATGAATTATGGTTCCTACATGGAAATTACGGGACCCATACGTTTCTCCACATAACGATTTACCATCAATAAAATATACCAACGAAATATACAAACAATAAGCGAGAAATAGCAATTGATACTAAATATAAAACGTCAGTCATAAATCATGCACTTTAATCTCATCGATGTTTTGTATTAAATAAATTTGAATTATCACGGTTCGATTGGACTCACCAGCAAATTCTCGTGGCGCAAGAAATTGCAAAATTACAAAATTACAAAATTACAAAATTGAAAATTAAGATAGTGGAATTACGAGAACTAAGAAAATTCTCATGCATCGAATCGATACGTTGGCATCACACAATGGCTAGCTATAATGCACTCGGACACGCGTGTGTTCCGGGTAAAGAATAAGGGTAATTACTGCAGCGAAATGGCGGATGCTATTAACCCTAATACAAATAGTCTGGTAATTACGCAATGGTTCAAAACGGTTGAAAGTATGTTGACGGTGGTTCATTAATACCGAGTAGACGACTAATTGATGGTGATTCTTTTGCACATCGATCGATCTAAACGAATTAAGGACGAGCAAGCTCGGTGTCATTAAAGATCCATTATCCATCGATCGGTCGATCGGACGGTCAAATTTCCACCACTTGTTTGACAATTAAACTAGCGTGATTTATAATTTGAAACGAGATTAAAGAAATATAGAAAAGTAATTCGATAGCGTCACTTGGAAATCGATAGCGAAAGTTTCATGGTGGTTGAAGATATTTTATTTCTCGATAATGGTCTGAAGAAATTAATATCGAAACGAGGGAATGAATTGTAAGTTAATAAGACAGTAGTAGTTGTGGATTTGGTTTTATTAGTGTGAATGCAACTGTGTGAGATCGAATAATAGCACGAATGTAGATATGTATGTTTTTAGAAATGAGAGTGGAAGATCTAGAATGCGTGGTGTTGTGCAGTTACTATGGATCAGAGTCAATATGTTATAAAGAAGTTCAGTTTGTTATAAGAAGCGTGAGAGCGAACAATTAGGATATAAGACGTGTGTAAATTATAATTTTATAATAAATATATGATTGTTATACAACAAACTCACAGTAGTAACTTCAGGTTTTGGATTCCCTGGAAGACGAGATTATACAGAAGGGACGATATGAAACGCCATGTCTGACTAGTTATAGGACTCGTCTACTTAGAACGAATCTACTGATCTATAAATCTGTTTCAAAAAATATTATGGATAAATAAAACTGAGCCTAGTAAAAGTATTTTCAATACTAATATCAGTACTTTGTTAATAATTTTCCATTTAAACATAGGAAAATTTTGTTAAATCAAGGAACGCATGAAGAGGGTAGATAAAATTATGTAGTTTCGAGAAGTTGAAATTTTGCCTTACCCGAAGCAATTATTGCAATTCAGACTACAGTATAAACATATAATTGCGAAACTACCCCGTGCGACCATTAACTATAAGTTAGAGGAAAACTCTTACTCTTGTGTGGCAGAGGATCGTATGAGATACTATCCAGCTCTAGATACTTCAGAGTGCACAGTTAATCTTGACACTGTGCGTTAATGATGTCACGTTATAGGAACAAGTTTCATTGTTTCATAAATTACAGATTTATGAACAAGCTACAACTTAACTATTTCATTACCCTGACAATTCGCGAGTAAAATATAATTTCCTTCGGCAATCCAATTTTTACGAAGAAATAATCACACCCATCGCCAAAACAATTACCAAAACAATAGAATCCCAGATATTAGGAAAACAAAAGACTACAGACGGTTTATGCCACAGCAGACGTCCATTAACTCGTTGACTACCACGCACTTTTAATATGGTGCGCTCAGGCGACAAAGAACTTCCCACTATTCTCAGAATATAATGAATTATTAAATAATACGATGAAAAGGAAGAGAAAAATTTACGTTGTTCAAATTTTCAGGAAGCAGGCGGCAATCAACGCGTTAAAGCTACCTCTCTACCAATAAAACCATAAATCACGAATTTTAATAAATTCAAAATAAAGTATGCCCTGCTAACACTCCTCTAGTACGCGTTTAACAACAAAGATTCGTCAAAAGAAAATAGTCCAGACGAAACAATAGATAATCGAAGATAATCTGCAGAAGTGGAAGATATCCATGCAATGCCTGAGCGTCATGTAAAAATTAGATTGGCAAGAACGTGCGTAAACATTTCGTACATACCCGTGTCTGCACTGCATAGTAATTTTTCTGCTGTTTTCGCCAGCAATTCAGCACGTGCGACGAAGACGCGTCGTGACAGTGTTCCGAACACTCTTCCTGTCGCGTTTCCGGCCTCTTCGTGCTTGGTGGATCCGGCCAACGATCCAGACTGCTCCAATATTTTCCCTTACGTTTCACAGCGTAGTATCGATACACCACTATTGTCATCCCGACGACCAGGGCCAGGCCAGTTCCTGCCGCCGCCCCGAAGATAGCCGAAGAAACCATCTCTGGCTCCTTCTCACCCCTCACACGATTGTTCCTCTTCCTTTTCCTCTTCCTGGTCTTCTTCCTCTTCCTCTTCCTCTTCCTCTTCCTTTTCCGTCAATTGTCGCTGCGAGTTAGTCCTCTCTCGATCCTCCAATCTGAAAAAGGTCGTCTCCATTAGACCAAAGGAAGTTCCGACGTGCAAGCTTGATTAGATCGTACCGACTGTTGCACCACGCTTTCTTTCATTTCCCCTGCCCTATTGAACATCCATTCGCGTTATTGACAGTGAAGCTTAGTATCTTTTCGAGAGGTTTCCTTTCCGTGGGATATATAGACTTGTTCTTTACCGAATTTCGAGGGAGAAGGTTTATTAACCCTTCGCACTCGAGAGGTAAGCTTCAGTCACCATTTCATAAAATTTGGAAGATCGACATTAACCCTTTGCACTCGAGAGGTGACCGTCAGTCACCATTAGATAAAATTTCGAAGATCGATATTATTTAATATGTCAAATTTGAGATAATGTAACGATGTGCGAGCTATAGAAATCAAATAATTCTACGTGTTAATTATTATACGATTTCTTATTTATTACCGAAAGAAATAGCCAGCTTTATAGCAGAAAATCTTCGAAGTCCTACTCATCTTTAGCCAAAAGATCGTCGAGAGCAAAGGGTTAATTAATATATCAAATTTAATGTAATGTAACAGTGTGCGAGGTATCGAAATCAAATAATTTTACAATTCTGTTATTATATAATTCTTTATTTACTGCTCAAAACAGTATCGTCAGTTTTTTAGTAGGGAATCTTTGAATTTCTACTCTTCTCTAGTCAAAAAATCGTCGAGTGCAAAGGGCTAAGAGAAAGTTTATGGCGGATTGCTCGGGATTCTTAATAAGTCTCACGCGTGAAATTTTGATTTAACAAACTCTGTTGTGGTAAAAACTAAATAATAAAATAAACTCTATACCCTAGCAATATGGAGAGTGATCGCTTCCCCTGCGTTTTACATTTTGTTAGCGCGTGTCTTTTGTCTCCCGTTTTCTGGAGACGTTTTGTGACCTGCGTAGCCCTAAACTAGCCAATTCTAACTGTTCGCCTGTTTAATAAATATCTATACAGTTTTTCTACCGTTTCCACTGCCTACTATTCCTTTGCGTTATAACCCCTTAACAAACTTCGATGCTGGAACTGTATCGCAGCATGCGTGGAAGGTTGGACCAATGGGATGTTCTCCCGCTATTATTGATATAACAATTATAGAGCAGTGATGTTTACAGTTATACATCCGACAATGTTGGAACATAAGAAATACTCGCGATAAATTACCCCTGTCCTCTGACAAGGATGTAGCGGCGGTACCATAGAGATATCGAAAGTTTTGGAGTCCCGAGACGATTTATGTTTAGGACTTGCTCTTAATGGTAGAGTTTGCAGAAATTGCTAGTGCTTTTCGCATGCGTTTTGTGAAAACTTCGAACGCGTTGCCTGAACGAGCAATTCTTAAGGACGAGGGGACCATAAACCTGGATTCAACTTCGTGATATTTTCCCAGTGATTTCGAAACACGATAAAGAAATTAAAATATGAATTGTTCATCGAATCTCTTTTTCTTCTTTCTCACCGTGAGTCTTAGCGAAGAATAATACGAGAATAAAATAAGCAAAAATGCCACAAAAGGTTGGGGGTTAAAAAAGGTGGATAATAAAATTCTTATTCCTTGAAAGGAAGACACTGGTCGTACATCTTAATTAATTTGCATACGGGAAGGGATGATCGCGGAGCAGAATTATGCAAACGTCCCAGGGCTCAAAGGTGAAAGTTCGATATCAGCGACGTCGGAAAAAAGAAAAATGAAGGAAAAAAGAAAGGAAAGAAGCGAGAACAACGGAGAAAGTTTAATACGATCGCATATACATTTCACCGGCGGTCGTTACGTTACAATCGCGTTTACGAGGGCACTCGGAACACGATGGGCCAGTTAACGCGGATGCGGGGAGAAGATCGATTCTCAGACAACCGGTAACGATTTCCACGGGAAAATTACGAGCCGTTGCCTTGCAATAGCTTTGACTCGTTACGTAAACCGAATTCGCGCGTGGAGGAGGAAACGAGACGGGAAGGTGGAGTACATGCCGTTGCTTCGTTATTAGAAAAATCAGAATCGACGAGAGGGAACGTAACAACGAGAACTTACGACGCGAGTAAACTTGCTTCGAGATTTTACCCACGTGTGTACGTGTTTTCGTTCATCGACTTGGGGGGTTAACGAGGCAGGAAATCGTGTAAATTGCCACGGTAGTTCAATTTCCATGTCGCTTACGTTTCTTGCGTTTCTGAATTTTCCCATTTCGATTATAATTCTAGACGGGATTTGCTCAAATGGCTAGACACGAATTTTTTAACAGGCAAGAGATTTTCGAGATACGGGCAAGTGTACGTGCAATAATAATAAAAAGTTAGGGTGAAAACAAGGGTGTTAGGGTGAGGATAGAAAACGAGATATGAAAGAAAATAAATCGTATTTTATCTGAGGCAAGTGAATGGTTTATATAAAGAACGACCCATGCCAATATTTTTTATACTAATAATTAGAAATAAGATTCGATAATATCGTGGAATTGGTACTATAAAAAATAATATATTCTCTGAATTATGGTAGGAGGAAAAATTCACCGTTCTATATTATGAAAGAATATAGTATAAAAGACGTCACCATTGTAGAATAAAGTAAGTACGTACAGGTAACCCTCCTATAACACGGCATCCTATATACGGTATTACTATAACACGATTCATAAATTGCGGTAACCCTCCTATAACACGCGTTGCAAGAAGATATGGCCCTCTTCAGTTGAAATAGAAAACGTGCGTGAATCGTTAGAAAATGAAATTGGTGGCATATTAGAATTTGTTAAACCAATCAGAGGTGAAGGTTTTGTGGATATGGCTATTGAAGACGTTCAAGATTTATTAGTTGAGGAAGAAGTTGACGAAGCGGATTTAATGGAAATGGTATCTGAGACTGTAAATCAAATCGATTCTGAGGACACTGGCACTGATGAAGATTGTGCAGTTAATAATTTAATATTAAAAAAATTACAAGAAGACCTAAGCTTAGTTAAAAATCTCGAGTCATTTTTCTTGAATGCAAACCCTGAAAGAAGTCGAAAATTCAAAAGGAAGCTGCAAAACTGTTTAGCTCCGTACCGAGAAATTTACAATGACCTGCTAAGAACCAGCAAGCAAAGTGAAATTACAGATTTTTTTAAGAGGAAAGAAGATGCAAAAACTATAAATGAAGAAAAAAGTTCTGAAAGTGAAGGCGATATCATTCCACCGAAAAAACGTTTTCGGTTGATTATATTGAGCAATGATTACAAAGAAATTTGTTAAATTAAAGTTGCGTTAAATTAAAATAATATTTTTGTTTCGTGTTGTACATAAATTTATATTTTTAATAAAAATTAAGTTGTTTACGTAGAATTAAAAAAAAAATTTGTTTTTAATAAATTTTCGGAACGTAACCCCTATTTTCGTGCTGGCTTTGGGTCTCATACAACACGGTTTCATACAACACGGCATTTTCTAGGAACCTATCTACCGTGTTATAGGAGGGTTACCTGTATATGAGCTTAGAACACGCACACTTTCGTTTCGTTTTATTAAAAAAAGAAAAAAATAGCCTGTGTGTTACGAGAAAAAGGGAAATACTCCACTGCAAACGAATTAAGGTTCGTTTCGTAATCTAATTCTTCGATGAATCGCATTAAACGTAATTACAGCCAAATTTCGGGTAAACCTAACAAGTTCTATTGTTCTTTCATTATCTTACCTTACTCAGAACTTAATCGTCTACCGTGAAGACGTTCGATGGGATCATTTCCTGGCCATTCATTTGACGAATCATCGCGGGAACTTAGTTTATAAACCGGCGAGTGATCGCGAGTAATCGACGTGTTCTCGTTGCCTCTTGGAATTTTCGAGAGACCGTGTTTTCGAGTCTGGCCTCAGTGCGATCCCTCTTCGGGCCGTCATTGAATTTTGACGCTGATCGCGCAATTTCCCGGCCGAATGGAACCAGGCAGCTTCCTACAGCGCACACATGGCGTAGGGCTTCTGGAAAGCTCGTTGAACTCTCGAGTTGACATCTTGATTCCGCGTCACCGTGCGTACACCATGGATTAATCTATTCAGTTGCTATGGCGATGCTTCATAGGCGATTTCACTTCGGCGCGAATCACCGCACCACGATAAAAGGAAAAATCAACTGGTCCCGGTGGACGGGAGGAAACCGCAAAGTTTAGCAATATAGACGAAGGAATGGAATATACACGAAGCGAATGGGAGAATTTCCAGGGATAATTCCGTTTTTACAGTGAAAAGGAAAATTAGTTTACTAAAGCTTCGGAACAGTTGGGAACGCGAAAGAAATCAGCACGCCATAATGGAAACGAGACTGGACCACGAATTTTGGCTTTGCTGAAGCAGCGAATTTCGGGTGAAATGAAAATAATACGACACTCTTGGGAAAAATGTGCAATGTGTTTTCCAACTTTCGAGCACGGAAAGAATTCCGACAAATTTTCCAGAATTTTTTGGCGCAGTTCCATCGCGTGGATAGGAATTTTTACAAAGTAAAAAGTACACACGTGGGTGCTAAAATGTACGAAACATTTTCCTTTTATCTTTGAACTGGAAATAAAAACTCTGTATCTTCGAGGACTTTTATTGTCGATCATAACCGTTTCCTTTATAGCGTGATAAGCGTGTTACTTCGCGTAGAATTAAATTGGGACAAATAGAATAACCAACTGGGACTGTGTTCATTAATATCTCAAAAATATCCTACAAAAAATTTCTGTAAAAAATTTCGTCGTATGCAATTTACATATTTTACATAATTTAATGAAGAAATTTAAATTGGTTTTAATAATTTTAATTTCATAACAGAACGTTTCGAAGGATAATGCATTGGTCTCGAGTAAACATTTAGAATATTCTATTCGATCGTAAAGATCATCGATACAGTATAGTAACAATTGGTAGAATAGTTCTAAATAATTAATAAATGTCACGGCATAAATATTTTAGCTTTTCCAACATTTCCATCGGAATGAATTGTTCACTATTTTTCATTCGAAGTATGACAG